TTGTGTGCTCTCTCTCTCTCTCTCTCTCTCTCTCTCTCTCTCTCTCTCTCTCTTCCTCTCTGTGATGTGTGTTTTGTGTTTTGTTTTGGTTTTTGGTACCAGGGGTCAAACTCGTGATCTTGCACTTGACAGGCAGGTGCAGCACCACTGAGCTACATCCCAGACCCTGGTTCTGTATATTTTTAATAACAGTTCAGTTATCCTGTATCTTTTGTATCTTTTCAATTTTTTTCAACTTAGTCATTCACTGAGTAGAGCTTTGTTAAGATCGCCCCTTATTATGGTGCATTTCATCTATTTTTCCTTGTATTTATGTCAAATTTTATATTACATATAGTTTAAGGTTGCATTACTAGTATTTAAGTTGAGAATGATTCTCTATATGAATCAAATTTTTTATGTTTGTCTAGTGACCCTATGTATTTCTAAGGACAACTTTTTTATCTTAGAAACCACTGCTATTGACTTAGCTATTTCATAATATTATCCATGTTTTATAAATACTAATCATTATTATCCTTCCTATTTGTCCTGAAAACTGGACTATTGAAAGCCCCTTGTCCTTTTCTCTGAAGAAGACATCCTGTTAATTAGCTATAATTTATGTTACTTTGAATAAACAGGTATAAAACATTTTGTCATTTGAAAATGCCAAGAAAACATATTGTCTCATGAGAATTTTCCTCCTTTTCGTTCTTTTTAAAAAGGTGCATTGCCATTTGCTCCCTGGGAGTGTGGATCTGCGAGGAACTTACACAACATACCTGCCACCCCCAGGTGAAGGAGGCCATCAACGTGGTCGGCGTGACACTAAAGGTATTGTCACTTGACATTCTGCTACATCCAGTTTTGGTTGGAATTGGCCCCATCTTTGTGTCCCCCAAATTGCAGAGGTGGTGATTCCAAGACTCATTTCGCACGAGCCCTGGCCAAGGTACTGACTGCCTCCCCATTGGCAACTGTGGTCACACCAAGCCCAGTAACCAGACAGGGTTCCTGTGGAGGCTGGGCAGTTCTTGTGGCAAAGAGGACATCTGCTACCTGTCAGCAGGGTTGACAGGAAAGTGGGATTGGCCTAGAGTTGGACCCTCTGTTTTCCCAGGGCCTCTTGTCCCCACAATACCCTCTGCACTCACCACCTGCCCCTCCTCTTGCTCCATGTCCAGGGGAGGGGCAGTTTATCATGGGAGCTGGAAAGGTGCTTGCTGCTGCTCCCCTGGTGAAGACAGAAAAATGATCCAACCAGGGTTTCTTGGGTGCTCCCTCAAGCCAAGTAGGGTGCTGGCCTGACAGTGGCCATTACTGCTAGTCCCTAGGATGGAGGGGCACTACTACCTGTACCTCACAGGTGAGCAAAGTGTGCTGACTGCTGATGGAGGGGCTTGCCCGTCCCCCCAGGACCCTCAGCTCTTCCACAGAGGCTCCCAGGAACAGGGAAGCCCTCTCCTGGAAGAGCTGAGGGAAAGTCAGGGTATAAACTGTGTCAGTGTGAGTCCTGATTTCATTGTTTAGATGCCTTGTTTTCTCAATTCTAAGATCTGCTTTTCAAATGTTATTTTAATTAAATCACTGTATGTTTAGTGTAAGGTAATAGAAGGCAGAAATTGATAACAGAGCTGTGGAATAAAATAATAGAGGGATAGATGTCTTCTTTGCATTTCTGTGAATTTTCAAAAAAGCCTACAGTTTTTCTTTAATTTTGAGAAAAAATAGGTGAAAGAAAAAGCACAGCTATATGTGGTCCATGGGACTCTAGGGTACACGGTGACATCGCCCACCAGGGCTCACCTCTCTGGCTCGGTGTTGCTGCCTGCCCTTCCCTTTAGAAGTGAGAGGAAGGAGGGCTAGGAGGGAGCCCAAGTTGGCTCCACCTGGACTGCTAAGAACTTGATGGGCTGGGACACAGCCAGGCAGGTCTCCCTTAGCTGTGCTGACAGTTAGAGGATGGTGACTGAAGTCCTGGTTCCCCAGGGATGCCTCCCACTGCTGCCCTCACGCTCCACTGCAAGCTGACAACCTGCCTGTGTGTCCACCACACTGAAGCATGCCGTGCATGAATTTCAGGTGTGCCTGACCTGGAGGGAAGGAGGTTCCTGAAAGAATGGGGAGCAGCAGCCACTTTGAGGGGAGGGGCTCCAGTGTATGTCCCTGCCAGAAGAGAGACATGACTAGGAGGCTCTGTGGCCCATCCCTAATGCTGTTAGTGGGATCCTGGGGTGCTGTGGAATTCTGTGCAGGCTTTTGCTGTCCTTAAAGAATTGGACAGGAAATGAAGCAGCAAGGTTTTACATTTATTAAAGGTACAAAAACAAGGGAGAAGAACTCTCTCTGAAAGAAGTGTTCTGCAGAGTGAGTGCAGAGTTAAAGCAGGAAAGGAGATACCTATGCTCTGTGGAGAACAGAGTGGGCTACCAAGAAAGAAAGAAGGCAATGGCTGCCAACTTTTATATCTCATTCTGACATCAAATGTAGGCCATCCTACTGTATCAGAGTTGCTTGATCTTATGCCAGAAGAATTGAAGATAGCATTCTGTGATTGCTCTCCTGACCAGGGCTTGGCAGCTGTTCTGCACATGTCTGAGTCTCCATGAATGACAGGTTGTGCCCTCTTTCCCAACCACTTTGCCCCACACTGATCTCCTACCTCGCTACCACCCTCCCCAAACCCATGTGTTCCCCAGAGCTAGGAGCCCAGAACGGTTCTGTGCAGCCCTAGCTTGGTGCTGTACCCTTTAGAACCCCCACCCCCTGGGGTGAAGTGGGTGTGGCTTGGCACACGGGGTGGGGCCACTCATTCTGTGCCCCATCAGCGAGCATGCCCAGGGACCCCACTCACCCATGTGGGCACCATGCTGTCAAACACCTGGCCTCCTGCCTTTGGAGATGAGGCCACCTTTAGCCCCACCTGTTGCTCCCCTCGCAGCACTTTTCCTCTGGAGTCTGGTGTCTGGGTGCCTGCATGGGTATTATGGTCCTAGGTTTATCTGGCCCTCTCGTGGAGACCAGTCTCACTATGTTCTACAAAACTAAAATAAGTCATCTTTTCCTCACTTTTTCTTCATGCTGCACGTTTGTCACCAGTGCCGAACACTGACCTTTTGGGGATATCCTATTTGCATAGTTATCTGCCTCCCATAGCATGGAGTGAGGTTATTCTAGACCAGTGTTACAGGATTATCCATGAATCTTTTTGTTCAGGTAGCAGTAGAGTTCCCGGGTTCTGGCAGCAAGAGAAGCCTAGGGTGCACTCATTACCCTGGCACAATCAACCAAGACCTTTTCACAAGAGATGGGAACATCCAGAACCCCTTGGACATGTGCCAGCCACAGGAGACATACTCAAAGTTATCCAATGTACCACGATTCTTGACTTGTGTCCTGTGGTCTCTAAATTTCCACATTTCCTATGCTATTTGGGGGTCAAGTTTCATTTCACTGGATACAAATCAATTTGATTAATTCCTGTTTCTCCATGTGTAAAATGAGGATAGCATCTGCCTTACAGAGCCATCAGTAAAGATTTACCAGTGGAAAAATGAAATTCCTGTAAAAGGTTCAGCACACAGGGGTTACTCAACAATGTACTGTACTTTGATTTCCTCCAGCTGTAAAAACTATGATGTAAGTGAGCTGAATAAATAATTTAAAATTATGGTTTTAATTTCCAAGTGGTCAAATAGCAGCTACTTGTTTCTATACAACATTGTGTAAATAAGCAAGGCTAGGCTAGACAAAAGGCAGTTACAGAGTGCTGGTATGGTTATGTGTAACTTCTCTGTTAAACAGACATAGTTTTCATCATGTGTTAATGCAAAACATATGTTGTGTAATATATATGGAACTGGGAATCCATTTGTTCTATCTTGTGAATAATGCACATTAGGTTATATATTTACTTTGACATTTTGTTTCCTTTTGTAGTTTCCTAACAAAATCGTGGCTCAGGTAGCTTGTGATGTTCTTCAGTTGCTGGTTTCCTACTGGGGAAAACTTCAGATATTTGAAATCTCCCTGCCTCGGAAAATGGCAGAAGTAAGTCCTTTCCCTGTAACACTAACACACGCACTTCTCCTTTTCAGCATCCTTGATATCCATTTAATTATAGATCCCCAAATGATTGCTAGTGAAAGGTATAAATTGCTATGAGTCCATCTTGGGCTCCTCTCAGCTGTAATTCTAGGCACCATGCAAAGAAGCCAGCAGTGTTATAGGGCAGAGGCTGATACTCCAGGCGATTTAAAGGCAGACATGACCACAACAAAGAGTCCTTTCGTAGACTGAGTTTCATTCACTGACAGTAATTTGGATGGTGCCAGCAAGGAGTGGGCAGCTGGTTATAATGCCCTCCACATAGGGTGGAGGGGTGACTGCTGTGTAAAGCAGGAATCCTCCCAGACTGAAGCCCTAGACCATACTCTGCCATAGCAGGATTCTCAGCTATAATGAGATGACTACCATTGTCACCTCTGAAGGAGAAGGAAAAGGATCTTCTTGCACAGAACATACTGGAGTTCCAGCCACGGCGCTCTGCTGTCATCTAAGCAGGTGCCCTCACTTGCCTGACTTACAGGTGCATCCGTTCCTGACAGTCTTTATAGCTGCACTTTTAAAAACACACCTGTCCTTTATATAGCCAGTGGTGACTCTGAGGAAATTTGATTTGTTCCCCTAAGCAATCACAGGGAGAAAGAAGAGATGATGCTGATTTATTTCCTCTCAGACCTAGACAAAGTTCACTGGGGAGATCACTTTGTTCCCTTGAAATACATCAAAAATCACAGGTGATTTTTTACCTTAAGTGACCTAGAATGTAATAGATCTTTGGACATGGGAATATAACATGCCATGGAATCTAAGGTTGGGTTGAGGTCATCAGAACGGGAAACCTTTTGAGGATGAGAGGGTGTTATTGTGCAGGGCAGTGGGCAGAGTCTGGGTTGACATAAGAAGATGAGACAGCAGCGTTCTCATGAGTCTTTTCAAAATATCTGGATGGCACTGTGGAAAGTAAGGAGACTGATGATGGTGGAATAGGTGAGTAGAAAGAAACTATACATTCCTTGGGATCCCCAGTTCCCCACCAGCAGAGCAGGTGGGAGCCATATATGACCTTATGCCTTCTGATTATCAAGACCACACATACAGGAATCCCACAGTTCTTTGTCACCTCCCTCCAGGGAGCTGGCACCAGGCTGGGCTTAGTTGCAAGGCCACCCTGAGACTCTTAGCATGTGGCTTCCAAACGAGTGGTCTGTTTGATTGGTGATTTGTCTTTTATGCAGATCCTTGTGGCCACAATTGCTTTTCTTTTACCAAGTGCAGAGTACTCCTCAGTGGAAGCAGATAAGAAGGTAGGTGGCACATTATTAACTTTCCCCTGAAGTTTTTTTTTTTTTTTAATGTAAGAAAGTATGATAAGTGGTATTTCAGGTATTGCCTGTGGAAACACTATTTACTTATTTACTTGATGACCTCAAGAGCATTTGTGTGTCCCCGAGTAACTACTGTGTGCAGGGATAGTTCTCTGGTTCATTGTCACCTAGGCTACATTGTAAGGGCCATTGTGTTTCTTCCTCCAGTTCATTGTGTCCTTGCTCCTCTGCCTCCTGGACTGGTGCATGGCCCTGCCAGTGAGCACCCTTCTACACCCGGTGTCCACCTCGGTCCTGGAGGAACAGCACCCATCTCGGGTGCCCTTGTTGGATTATATCTACAGGGTGAGTCTCCACTGGGGCCTCAGGGCACAGGCTGGGGACCTGTGTCAGAAAACTACCAAAGCATGTTCTGTTCTTTCACTTTCTTATCTAGGGCCTTGTGAAAAGGATTTGGGGTGAGTTAAAACATTTTAAAACAATGAATAACTAAAGGAGCAAAAGCAGATGAGATATTGCTATAGAAAGGCGGTTGTTACCAAGTTAAAGATATTGCATTCCTATGTGATTGTCTTCTAGAATCTTTGAACAACTGTTATTTAGTTAGAATAGCCCAATTTTCATGGAACATAGTCTGTTTCTACTTAATTTTTTAAAAGAACTATAATATAGGAATATCCAGAGGATGTTTGACAAATCTCTTTATCAAAGGTAGAAAAAAGTTAATGGTTCCAGTAATCTCTTTGCCCTAAATAAATCTTCAAAAAGTAAATTGAGGACACTAAACTGTACTTTAAAAATCATGGGGTCATGAGTTACACTAATTTAAACTTATGAACTGTCATGCAGTTTGCTGGTGGAATCTACTCATTATGTTCATTTGTTCCTCCACTATGAGTGGCTTCTCCTACACCACACTCCATTTTCTGACTTAGGTCCTCCTGCTCGTGTCACCTTGGGTGGATGGAGGAGGACTTAGGTGTATGCAGTCACACAGACTGGTGACAGGAACAATTTTCACTTTTGCTTTCCCTTTACTTTGAGAATACACTTCATTGTCATCGATGTGAAAGAGAAAAATAAACTGCTAATAGCAAGAAGATATTTAAGCATGTAAGAGACTCAGTGTTCTGAAGCACTGCTACACAGGAGTCTCAGCTCCTGGTGCCATGGTACTTGGATAGACTATCTGGGGACAGGAGGTGGTAGCACCCACATTGTGGTTCCCTTGTCTCTCCCACAGGTTCTACACTGCTGTGTCTGTGGCTCGAGCACATACACCCAGCAGAGTCACTATACTTTGACCCTGGCCGATTTGTCCTCTGTGGATTATGACCCCTTCCTGCCCCTGGCCAGTGTGAGGAGCTCTGAGCCAGTCCAGTGCCATTCCTCAGCAGATTTGGGCAACCTGCTGACTGTGGAAGAGGGTGAGTATTGTTCTTGATGTAAATCCTTACTGTCAAGAAAGGGAAAGATTATAGCCTTTGTCCATTCTGGCTGTTTGAAATCCTGATGTCTAGAGTCCTCTCTGATGGGAATTTTGCCTTCCTTATTTCCTCCTCTTAGCATGTGGCTTCCAAACTAGTGGTCTGTTTGATTGGTGATTTTTTACAAATGCATATAGATCTTCAGTTGTCACGAAATTAAAAGTTTAAAAAATATGGCTGTGGAGTGCTAGGTAACCTATGAAAATCTTAGGTACTTCTCAAGTTAGAAACATAGTTTCAAGAATGGATCCTTGAGGGTAAAACCACCCTTAAGCAAAAAGGAATAAAGAAGCATCACCAGGGTAGCAGAGCCAAGGAAGTGGAAAGGGACCCAGAAGGAGTCGTTTCTCAGAAGCCTGGAGAAGAGGGCAGCGGTGCTGAGGATATGCAGCAGTGCAGGCATCTCCAAACCCCAGGAAAGGCAAGGGAGAGACAGGAGGGAGCAGCTTCATTTCCCAGCATGTGTTTTTGGTTTTACGTTTGTCCCAAGAGGACTGGGCAGAGTGGCTGGTCTGGCAAGATCACCAGAGCAGGTGCCCTATGCAATGGCCTAACCTGAAGACAGACCCCTCCTATGGGGTCCTGGGTACAGAGGAGAGAGGGATCCATTGGGCTGCCATTGGGAAGGGCACAGAGCACCAGGGTTGTGCTTGTGAGGCGGGAACGTGGTTCAGGCAGGAATGAAGGTCTAGAGTTGGGGTTAGGGACATGAGCAAGGGCTGGAAATCCGACAGCCCAGATTTTTGCTCTATTTGTTTGATGACTAGACTGAGGTTGGGAATTTCTCCAGGCTGTGCTGGTCAGAAATAATAGAGGTAGAATTGGAGCCTGAGATTTAATGAGTAAGTTCCTGAAATACGTTGTTTACTCAGAGGTTTGGCCATTGAATGGACTAAAGATTCCTGAGCTATAGAGATTATGGATTGTACATGGTACATTCACACTATCGTCCTGCCACTTGGTTATCATCTGATTGTCTTTTCTGAAATTCCACCCTGTTAACTGCAGTACCTTCCCAAATTTCTCCCATACTTATAAATTCAAACAATACACACACACACACACACACACACACACACACACACACTTTTTTTTTGGTTCCAGGGATCAAACTTGGGAGCTTGTGCTTGTGAGGCAAGCAGCAGAACCACTGAGCTAAATCTCTGGCCCTCAAACAATATTTTTAATTAAAGTCAATCTTGATCTGTTTCTTTTGTTGTTGCCCATCTTACAATCCAAGTCTTTTAAGAAATTAACTTCCTAAAGTGGTGAGCGGACACCTACCCACATGGTGCTAGACTCATTCACCATTTACTGTGACTTGTCGCTTGAAAATAGCAAAGGACTAGTCAGTTTATGAAAGTGGAAGAAACTAAAAATGAGCACTTAAATTTTGGTACTGTTTTCCTTCAAAGTACACTCTTCTTTGATTTTAATATTTATTCTCCAAGAAAACCTCAGAACCTTGTATAGAAGTTCCCGACAGAGTTCTGTAGTACTCAAAGTAATTGCTTAAACTTCTCTGATGAATTTTAAAGTGCTCTATGATGTTAACTAAGATAAAAAGCCAGAAGTTTTAAAACATACTGGTATACACAGGTACTCTTGCTAGTTGGCTCTATCCTGTTAAGGACTGAAGAGGACAGATAAAGATGAGAACTTTCAGGTTAAATAAAACACACCCATGTTTTTCACTCAATATCATAATTCATCATTCATTACAAAACTATTTCTAGTCAGATAAGGTTTCTTATAAGCAATATTATTTAACTGTTATTTTTAATGATTCTTTCTTAGACAGTTGCCTAATTCTTGATTATATTTACGACTTTCAAATAAAGTTACAAGTGAGGGACAGTGAGGCCAGCAGCAGCCACAGGTGCCCTGTATTAAAACTGCTGGAACGTGGAAGAGGACTCTAAAACACCAGAATGAAAGGATGACCTAACATCCTGCTTTTACATTCTATCTGTAAATTTAGGGAAAAAAATCAAGAAATTTGGAATATATTTTTTAATAGTTCGTGAGCTTTTTTTCATCAGTGGGGTATAGATTTTCTCTTTGTCCTCACGGAACACACAGCAAATAATTTAACTGAAGTGTGCCAGAAAAGAGGGATTATTACTTTTCAGTACTTCCAGGTTTTTATTAGATGTGTCCTTGTGTCATGATTTATGATCTGTGTGACTAGATTAATTTTCTATTGTAGAATTCAAACACATTCATAAAATACATTTGCCTTTATTCTCAAATTGAAAACACAACCCTTTTGAGTAAAAGCAAAGGGAAGGTGATTTTCTAATTGTTATTTTCTACCAGGTCCTAAGTGGACCTTAGTCACCATAGCTTCTTTACTAGGAAGTCATACCCACTAGGAACCTACAAAATCCCAGCGGCTTCATGTGTGCCCTTTGGGGCATTAACAGTTCTTAGCTTGAGCATTGAATTTGAGCATTAACTGTCGTAAATGTGTGGGATTGTACACACTTCTCATAGGGCTAGGAGAGTTTAATTTCAGAGATGGATGTAGGTGAGCTCCTCTGCTTCTGAAAATTGAGTCTTTTGATATGAAATTATCCATTACTGAATGCATATATCATGTTTATTTTAAAAACAACATGAAATCCAAGAAAACTCAGGATAATGTTGTTCTACTTGGTCTTTACCCAGAATTTCTTAGATTCAGGATTTTATTGATTCTCTCTAGGATTTGTAAGTCATAAAATTGATGTGTTACAAATAAATAAGTTGGATTTTTAATGCTTAAGGAAAAAATACATTTATATACCATGAAAAAATATATTTAAAGTTACTTATGTTTTACTACTTGGTTTTTCATATTGTGAATTTAAAAACTAAGTATTTCTTAAAACTTTAAGCTTATGTTATAAGTCTTAGTTTATTTAAATATCTAGTTTTTGGTTAAAATTAACAGTTTTATTTTATTTTTACTTGTTCTTAGATTAATGCATAAGGCATGTTATAAATTTGGCTGGTTGAAATTTCCCTAACTGCTCTGAAGTAGTCATTTCAGTGTGTATTCATGGATTCGTTATCTGCTTCTCCTTTCTGCCTCATTTTACAAGGCCTTTATGTACCTAACAGTTATCAAAGTCTTTGTATGCATTATAAGTATTAAAAATTTTTAAATCAGTTTCTCTTGAGCATTTAAATTTAGTTAAAGCATTCTAACTATTTCCATGATTTATCAATATGACAGATTCTCTTAAATATTTAAAATGCCCTAACAACAAAGCATAAAGTATCATGATTATTTAGCACATTGCTTCCAATCTATTCCAGAAGCCCCAAGCATGATTGATTCCCATGTGAGGTATACCCTAGCCCCTGGAGAGGAGCAAGGCTACCTCCTGACCCCTCAGTGAGGACTGGTATCCTCACCAGAACTCCTTGAGCCCCCAACTCTTCAAGAATGGGGAGAATCTCTTGTTTATTCCTGTGTCTACAGACTTTTAAGTATCCCTTTTGAATTAGATGTTTATGTTATCAATCCATTTAAGTTAAATTTTCAAATTCAAATGGAATTAGTATAAAAAACAGAACAGATGAAAAGTATTCTTAGACTAAAAAAAATGTTCTGAAGTCTGGGGTTGGGTTTTGACCTCACTCCCTGTTGTCCTGTGCTTCTTCCTATGCTCACAGAGAGAAAAAGGAGGAGCCTGGAGCTGATCCCACTTACCGCCCGCATGGTGATGGCACACCTGGTCAACCACTTGGGTCACTACCCGCTGGCTGGGGGCCCGGCTGTGCTGCACAGCCTAGTCAGCGAGAACCATGATAACACCCACACTGAGGGTGCCGAGCTGTCCCCCGAGGTGTTCCGGAGCCCAAACCTGCAGCTCTTTGTATTTAATGACAGCACCCTCATCTCTTACCTGCAGATGCCTGCAGAGGGGATGAGTGGCAGGTCCCCAGGGGGCGCCGTCTCAGATGTGCGGGTCATTGTGCGAGACGTTTCAGGGAAGTACTCCTGGGATGGGAAGGTGCTCTATGGACCTCTGGAGGGCTGCCCAGCACCCAGCAGGTGCAGTCCCCCCTTTCGGATTCCCAGCTGCCATCCTCAGAACATTGGGCCGCAGAAAGATCTTCCTCAGACAGAAGAGGAGGATGATGTGCTGGACAAGTTGCTTGAGAACATTGGCCACATGAGCCCTGAATGCCTCTTGCCATCTCAGCTAAAGCTAAATGAGCCTTCCCTACCCCCGTATGGAATGAACAGTGAGCAGGAGAAGGAAATTATTGAGGTTATCCTGCGCCAGAATGCACAGGAGGATGAGCATGTTCAGAGGTGTAACTCGGCCTCCACCATGAAGGTCACCAACCAAGGGCAGCCCTCCCCAGTGGAGCCCCAAGGACCCTTCTATTTCTGCAGGCTGCTGCTCGATGACTTGGGAATGAACTCTTGGGACAGAAGGTAATGGTGCAAGCTGATCCTCCAGTTATTTCATCCTTGTTTTCACCTGATAGTTCTCTAAAGACTAGAAATGGAGATTTTTTTTTTCTATTTCAGTATTTACAAATTATTTCCACCTGCTAAATTAAAACTAGAAATGAAGCTAACTGTGCTGTTTTGGTGCACAAATTGAATTCTAATACCTAGTGGATACTTTAATGAGTATCAGGCATTTTCTCTGTGTGTATTTTACTTATCTCTCTGTCCATTATTATTTTGACTTTTATGTAAGATGCAAATGAACTACAGAGTGCATTGGCCGCAGTCTAACCTGAGGTCTCATGAGGGAGGTGGGGATGATCCACATCTGATAAGGGATGGGGTGCAGAAGTTCAAGGGGAACCGTAGTGGAGCAGAGGGAACAGAGCCTTGCAGCACAGCTAACAGTGGAACCAGAGGCACAAACAAGTATATATAAGCACACACTCATTGGCCAGAGTCATCCAGGGCACTGGGTAGCAGTGGGCTGTGTTGAAGTCTTGATTCCTTGCAGGTTGTAAGAGAATGGAGCTCCTTCTGAAGGTCTCTGTCATGCCTTCAGTGAGTGAAGTAGTAGGTGGGTGGATGAAGGGTTGTTTTGGAGAGCAACAGAACTGAACCATGGCCATGTGACCTTTTACTTCCATCCATTTTTTTTTTCTAGGAAGAATTTTCATCTGTTGAAGAAAAACTCAAAATTATTGAGAGAGCTGAAAAATCTGGACTCCCGTCAGTGGTATGTGAAAGTACATCAAACTGCTTTTGTCTGCTGTCTTCCTGTGTACACAGGCCAGATACAGTTGTAGGGACAAGCATGCCTGCAGATACCCAATGGTGGTGCTAGACCTAGAATCTGGTGCTTTACCTTGAAGGAATAGTACGTGCTTGGAATAGTACCCTAAGAAGCCAGGGCTCCCAAGAACATCAGCTTGTGATTGAATACCTTTCTAGGTGGCAGCCAGTGGGTACTGATCCTCCTTCATTCTTTGCAACCTGCTCTTTTCTGATAAAACCTTGGTGGTGTTACTTGAAGCCCTATGAAATCACCTTTACAGACCAGGATGGGCACAATGTGCCGATATTCTGTAGTCCTGCTTAGAACACTGGAGAGGCTGAAACCAGCGAGTGGTGATTAATAGCCATCTGCTAATTAGCCTCATGCTCCAGAACCATCAGAGTTTCAGGTCCACCCTTTCTTAAACAGCACAGGAGCATTTCTAAAGATGCACTCGCAACACTGAGAAGTTCATGATTTGAGAAAATGCATGTTACCAGAACTAACCAAGTGAAGAATAAGGACAGGCTCAGTATATAACATGCTCAGAAGTCTTAAAAAGAGAAAACTTCTTCCATAATCTTTATTTAGTTTTTTAAAAACACTTTTAAAAAAACAGCTTTGTTCTTCTTTTATTGCCTTAGGAATATCCAAATATTCCCACCCCAAAGAAAGAAAAAAATTTCAAGCTATTTTCCTCAAGCCTATGTAAAATACTCTTCTCCCTATATGTTTTTTTTACTCCCTTCTTGTTGTTGTGTTTTATTTTGTTTTTGAGACAGGTTCTCACTTTGTAGGTCACGCTGGCCTTGAACTCACTATGTTACCCAGGCTGGCCTCCAATTCACAGTAATCATCCAGCTTCAGCCTCCGCAGTACTGGGATTACTCGTGTACATACCATACCTGGCTCTTACTCCTTACTTAAATTTAATTTTAAAATATGTTTGAGCTTTATGTTTTAAAGGATAGTGTGGAAGCAAGAAGAAAGAGAAATAATAGACCTGCAACTTTGGCATGACAAGTCCTAAGTTGGCATTTAGAGATATTACTGGAACTCTTGACTTCATTTGCCTAACCATCCCTTCACCCACTGTGCCAGCTTCCATTACAAGGCACCAGCTTCTCCTGCCTGGCACTTAGGGAATGAGTCACTAAGCAGGTGGCTGTCTTATTGTTTGGGTTGTTTATTTTAGCATTCTGATCAAAACTCAGTAACACATTCCTAAATTTCATTATCAGACAAATTCTTGATTCATGCCACTATAATTGATATATCAGATTAACCACTGTAATCCTTCTTTGGTGGTTTGAATTCTTGAACAGAATATAAATGCAGTATCTAGTAAATTTCAGTTACACTTTTCTTTGAAATACCTGAAGACCAGCTGTCCCATTCAGGAGGAGAGAGCTTGCCGATCTTCAAAAGACTTCATACCCAGCAGAGTAGCCACTTCCCCTCAGAAAGTATATAAATCATACTTGTAAGATGACTTTTATTTTTTTTAAGCACCTTTGCCATGCCACAAAGGGCCAAGCAGATAAAATATAAAATCATGTCAAGCTTTCTCACAGTTCTATGTCCTTTACTCCTTCAAAAACATCTAGAATGAAGACACTTCACTTGAATTGTCTTCTGTCTGGGAGTTGGGTGTATATAGGTTTCCTTCACTTCTTTTTTTTCTCCATTTCTCTTCATCACTCTTCTCCCCTCCTGTTTGTCTCCCTGCCCCTCAGGATACCAGAGCTTCCTGAAGCCACATTAACACTGAGGCCCATGCTCGCCCCGTGCTCTGAGTATAGGCATAAGTCCCTGCATGGTGGTTGGGGGCCTCACTCACTCTGGAGAAGCCAAGTGAGAGTCATTGCTTCTAGGTGGCCATACTACTCTTCGGAGAAGTGACAAATAATTTAGTATCAAGAAATACACAAAGCTGAAATGATTCACTCTAGCTGACCCTAGGGAAGGGAACTGTCCTCAGCCCCAAGGCCCACATCTCCATGGCCATCTCAGGTGTCTTTATTTCCTAATTCATCAAATGAGACTTACAAAGATCTGAGTCTAAAAGAAATGAAGAAGCTGAAGCTGTTCTTTGCAGTGCCCTTCCTCAGATTTGTGCTCCTGCCTGAGGTGCTTCTTTTCTGCAGACAAAGGGAGCAGAGACCAAGTTCTTTGGAAATTCCATGAGGGATTTCTTGTGAACAGCTCAGGGATTCACTTCCTTTTCCCTCTTGTTCTTCAGTGTTCAACTAGCAGTCATGTGGGTCCCAAACTCAGCTTTTCTAGCATATGCTGAATTATTCCGTTTCTCAGTATTATGTGAATACATTGGTATTGTAATTGTGGCCAATTTGTTGAATGTTAATGCGCTTTAGTTGCATGAGGTGCAATTGAATTAGCTCCCTGGGGGTGCTGTTGCAGTAAAATATAGCTCTGGGTTGCTGATTGGCAATCTTATGTCCCTTGATTAAAATTCACTTACAACCCAAACTCCTGGATTTAGTATCTTCTCACCATCTACTTTTCTTTTTCTTTTTTATTTTTTTGATACCAGGGATCAAACTCAGGCCCTTATGCTTGTGAGGCAGGCAGCAGAACCACTGAGCCAAATCCCCGGCCTGCCATCTACTTTTGTATCTGTTTATTTTAGGTTAAAGGGTATTTTCGAGGTTCTTTTTGGGGAGGGAAGGAGGAACTAAGTCTGGAACTCTTCAGCTGGACTCTTCTGCAGATTGGTCAGATAGTAAACAAATTACTTCTTGTCCCTCAGCCTTCAGTCAGGACATTTCTATTTATTTCCAGTGTCAATGTACATCACTCCTGTAAAAGCATAGCTCTTTCCTGACATGTCTCTATGAAAGTCAGACACAGACACTCATGCAATTGCAGACTCTGAAGTTATCAAAGATGCAAAGACAACAGTGTGATGGATGGACATACAAATCATAGCAGGACTCCTAAAATATGGGTCTTGCCACCACAGTGGGTGGAGTAAGCAGTGTGAAAATCATGGATTCTGTGTTTGGCTCTTTTATGTAACAGCACAAGAAAACTGAGCTATTCTTGCCCATTCCTACAATAAGAGAGAAACACATCCTAATGAGGAAGGGAAATTGTTGGTTTCATGTCCATGTTCCTGAATTACCTGCCCCTCCATGCACTGGATGTGCAGCTTACGGATATGAAGCACTGTTGATGTTCCAATTACCATTTCAAAGACTGCTGTAATAGGGCCAGACATGCTGTCTGCTTCCTAGCAGGCGCACTGTGGTGCTAACATTTTGGGAGATGTGAAATTTGTTGAGCATGACAAGGAAAGGTCACCTTTCCTTCATAGCATCATTGGGGCTGAGCACTGCCTCTAGGTTGGGTTAATAAGGGCTTGATGACCATGAGTAGCTATGACAGAAAAAGCCTCAACTTTAAGAGTAAACAGAAAGCCAAGGCTGTTTTTACATATATAATGTCTATAGAACAGAGAGAAGTTAAATGCTGAGGACTTTTTAATATGTACAGAAAGCTGCAAAAAGAAATTGAATAGCTCTAGTTTTTTGTTGTTGTTTCTTTCATTAAGACAGCCTTCTAGGGCAAAGGTCAGGATTACTGTTGTCATTACCTGAGCCCCAATTATCACAGCTCCTGTGATGAGCTGGTCAGATTTGAGGAGCTTCTTAGTGGTGTTGCAAATTCAGGGCTCCCTACTCCATGAGGACAAGTTTGTCTGTCTTTCTCTCTTTCTCTCTGTCTGTCTGGGAGCATAAGATGTCTACTACAGCATCATATATACATGCACGTGCACAGTAGGATCCATTACCACAAAACCTTCCCTCCTTGCAGCACCTGTTCCCTTTAAGGGAGACACCTGGGGAGAGCCCAGCACATCCTGCCTCCTGGGCACAGCAAAGTGGGTATCAGAGCCTTAGAAAGCCTAGGGACCAAGCAGTCCTCTCTGAATTTATTTTAAGGACATAAAAGTCTTGTCAAAAGATTTAAAGTTTAAGGGTTATCTTTAAGGAAAAATAATATGAAAATATCTTTAAAATGCGAACAACTAGATAATGATTTGGGATATGACATCAATATAATAGGTCCATCACCACAATACCACAAATAACTATTATAGAAGCACACCATATAAAAGTATTGACATCAAAAGTAAGCTAAAATGGTGAATTTTATTTTGTGTATCTTACCAAGATTTCTTAAAAGTGCTCACAAATATTTTAGGTGTAAAATTACTTGTGTAACAATATAGTAGTTTCTCATACTTCATATTTATAGGCAAAAATGCATCCTAGATTAGTAACAGGGTTTTTTTTGAGACTGGATTTCACTATGTACTTCAGCTGGCCTTAAACTTACTGTGTAATCCAGGTTGGCCTAGAACTCATAGCAGTTCTCCTTCCTCAGCCTTCTGAGCGCTAGGATTATAGGCATGAGTCACCATGCCCAGCTCAACAGTTTTGTTTTTTATATGTTCAAATTGCAAGTGTTTTTTGTTTCTTCCTTTGAGATAGGGACTCACTAATGCAGGGTGGCCTTGTTCTCATAATCTTCCTATCTCAGCTCTTGAGTGCTGGGATCACAGGTGTGATCACATGCCCAGCCACAGGTATTTTTTGTTTTTCTTTTTATTCCCTTCCTTCCTTTCTAGATTTTAAAATTATTGTTCCAAGCATATTTATTATATGAAAACTACATGGGAAGTACCAAGTGAATAGAATAAGAGACATTTCCTCTAGCGATTTGTATATAATATTTTAGTTGAATTTCGATTAGTCCTGTGTATTGGGTAGAAAAACAACCCATACAGAAGGAAAAATTAGAAAATTTGTTAAAATATGAAGCCAGCTCTACCATGTGGAAGTCTAATCAGATTACAATGTGGAGATACTGTATTCGACAATAAAAATATTTCTGTATTGTTAAGCACTTGATAGTTTTTCTATGAGATTTTTCAGAATTTTTCAGTAGTGCAAAAGAGAAGAGTAGAACTACTCTGAAAGTGGTTATTTAATATTTAAAAATCACAGGCTATAGTAAAACTCATGGATGATGATGGGGCATTGCAGGAGTGATTCTTCACTAAAGCGCTATTGGAATAAAAAATGTTTTCATCTCTAAACTATCACCACATTGCTTGAAGGTTATTTGGGCACTTTCCCCCAGTGTAACTTGTAGAAGCTGGTTACTGAGACACCCAATTAGACCATCATAAACTGGTCAATTTAACAGTTTGGCGGGAACACCTGCTATGCACCAATCCCACACTAGATGTGCAAAAAAATAAAAAGACAAGATTCCTTGGTTCAAAGTAGGTCATCTTGATTTGACAGTAAACTGTCCCAAATTCATCATGGCTCAAGCAGATGAAGGGTTAATATGGCCAAAAGAAATTTCCTCAGACATTAGTCCACCCTGCCAGTACCATCAGAAAGTCAGAGCATAGGGTCTGCATACCCTTCCACAGAGAGAACACCTGTGTGTGTGTGTTTGGAAGAAGTTTCTCATAAAGATTGGATGTAGTATGCAGTTGCAGTCATGGGGCTACCCAATAGCCTTATCTCGATGTAGACAGTAAAATGTGGGTAGCCACATCAGCCTGCTCACAATCAGTGTCTATTTGAAATCTTTTAAAGATGTTATTCGTTGCCCCAAAAAGGAGAGAACTTGCCAAATGCAGCTACCTGCTGCTGTTGAGTGCATCTTGCATTTGAGCAGGTAATCTTAGGAACCACAGTGTCTTGCTTGAGTTCCCAGTCTTCTGCTTGCTTTGTTCACTTTTTGTTCAACTTCTGTTCTGTGCCCCCTTTCAACCGCATCTGTGAGGTGAGGTAATAATAGTGCCCATCTCCTTAGAGCAGTTGCAAAGATGAGATTTTGTGTCAACATGTTTTAGGAAAGTGAGTGACTCCCAGGAAATTCTCAATGAATATAAACTCACCAGAAGAGGAATCATACTGGTGGCAGCAACAAAATAAAACTTTATATGTGAGAATTCTAACTTATTTAAATTTAAAAATTTATAGCCGGGAGACACACAAAATTGCAGTGTTTTACATTGCTGAAGGTCAGGAAGACAAGTGTTCGATCCTCTCCAATGAAAGAGGAAGCCAAGCTTATGAAGACTTCGTTGCTGGTCTTGGATGGGAGGTAATTTCATCCAGTAGGAGTTTTTTTGACCACCACTGTTTAAAGTTGTGTATGAACTACTCTTACCTGTGGTTTTACATTCATGGGTAGAGAGCAGGAACTGAAGAATCCTTTTTTCAGTACCTTGTATGTGAATTCTTGCTTCTCCTCGAGTTTCCCTGTGCTATTTTTTCATCTGCTTTATGTCAGAGCTGTATAGTCAGATGGACTAACTTAGCTCTACACAGTTTTTAGTAAAAGAGGAAAAATGTGTGCAGAGAAGCCATGGCTTTGGCCATAGTATAGAGATCAGAGAAGAATAGTGGCTTGGTAGGTGAAAATGTGAAGGAAGCATTGGGTGAAGTCAAAAGCTGAAATGAAACTACAGTAAAGTAGCCATAATAGTTACCTATCAACCTATTTCCTAACATAGATCCCTAGGATGACTGATATTGAAAATGTTAGCATTTTCTTGATTGATACCCTGACATGCACGCACAAACAGATGTATATCTGTCTCCTAGGAACCTAAGTGCGGCACCTGAAAACAATTTAGAGTACTTACAATGGAAATCAAAATACCTAAAATTATTTTCTTTTTAAACATTTTCTTTTGTTTTGGTTTTTCAGTTATCTGAGCTAAAGAGAAACTCTAGGGTACATGAGCACAGCTTACCACTCAGGGTTCAGCCTGAGTAAGAGGCCTGCTGAAAGATGGGGACAGAGTGAGACTACATCAAAGTCAAGACTGTACTTTCTAAGACATCTGGTGTGTTTTAGTTCAAGACCCATTGCCCTTAAAATAAATCATTGTTCTTACTAACAAGGGTGCTTCTTATTTGTCATAAAATATATTTACTATTTGACGCATTATTTAAGCATACATTCTCAACTAAAGTTTTAGGGAAAGACTGGAACACTAATTTGGAGTATGCTTGGCATTGAATAGACTTTCCTATTTCTTTTGTGTTAGAATAGATATTTTACTGAAAGAATAATCCTTCATGATGAGTTGAAAAATTTAGGTTACACTATGAAGTGAGCATTCGCACCAAAACCCTAAATTAGTTCTGATTCATAGATTTTCAGCAGTAGTGTAAACTGGGAACCACTGAACTAAATCCCCAGCTCTAAACTGGAACAACTTTTTGAAAGGCACTTGAGCACTGGTTGCTAAATTGTGTGACATCTGTACCCCTTACCGAGCAACTCAGAGAAATACTCTTCCCAGTGTTTCTTCTGGTTTAGGAGAGCATACTTCCCACAGACCCACCAGTGTGGAGCCATCAGTGCGTCTGTGTGTGTTTGCCTGGACATCAACCCTGGGTATAGAGCAGGAGTGCTTCCTTTACCCAGCCTGAGTGCTTCCTCAAAGATAACTCCAAGAGAGCACCTTCATACAACTTTTATTACAATGACCTGTTAACATTGCCCTGTTATTAGTTGTTGATCTCTTGTTGTGCTAATTTAACATGTATACACAGGAAAAAAGAAGTATATGCATAGCATATAGGATTTGGTGGCTTGGTACTCTTTGTGGTTTCAGGCATGCCCTGGGGGAGTTGGGACATAGAGCCTGCAAATAGGTGGAGACACACACACACACACACACACACACACACACACACACACACGCTCAAGGTAGGGAGTAAGATAAATATACAGCAAAATTGAGGAATGAGGTTGCTCTCTTTGTAAAGAGCTGGGGATCAAACCCAGGTCTTAGTGCACACTAGGCAAATGCTTTACCACTGAGCTGCACCCCAAGCCCTTAAAATTTTGTAGTGATTTTAAGGTGGAAGCATTACAGAGCAATTTCATTTTTAATGATTATGACTGACCTTATTATATTTGTGACCAGAAGGAAAGTTATGGAAATGAAAATAGCTCATGTTGCTAAATCCTCATCCCTACTCAGTGAGGAGGAATGGCTCATGTCTGACTGCTTTCCTCTCCATGTGGTCTCCCCAGGTGGATCTCTCTACCCACTGTGGCTTCATGGGTGGCCTGCAGCGCAATGGCAGCACCGGGCTGACTGCACCTTACTATGCTACCTCCACTGTGGAAGTAATTTTCCACGTTTCCACTCGGATGCCATCGGACTCAGATGATTCCCTCACCAAAAAGGTATGGGACCTCCCTCCCTGGGGCCCATCCTCACCACCCTGGTGTAGACGTGGCCATCTTCAGAGTACACGAAGACCCAGCCACTGTCTTCAGGACTCAGTGACCCTATGGCTTTTCCTAACTAGCTTGGCGCAAGATTAAGGCCTGAGATGGAGGATTGTGAAACAAAGGGTCTTACTTGTTGCTCCTTTGGGGTCTTCCCGCACATTAGTATCCCCTGACAGAAAAATAACATTGTTACCTCACAGATTGACAAAAGTCACATGGAATGACCTTTGTGGCAGAAATACTGGGAGCTCTGGAAAGGCAGCCCCCATGTCCACCCCAGCCCCAGCCTGCCGGGCAAGTTGGCAGCAGAAGCCAAATGACAAGCACAGATGATGCCACCCAACCACCCCACTTTTGTTGCACACCTTCCACTCTTCCTCAGCCTTCCCCTGGGGGCAGTATTCCTGAGAAACATGGCCCTGTCCCTCATGGCCTACAGGATGCTCATACCTCAGGTGACCCTACATTAGGCATGAGGAGCACCTTCCCAAAAGAGGAACTTGTCCAGTAAGGAGCCATAGCTGAGGCCCAGAGCAACTGTGCCAAGCACATTCCTGGCTGGCAGGTGGTGGAGCATACAGCCACAAGGAGTGAGGACAGCCCATGGGCTGACTAAGGATGGCCACCAGGCAGTGTGATGTCATTAGTAGAGCAAGGCCTCAGGTTCTGTGGACCCAAGTATGTGTCTAGTCACTGCATTAGATTGTGCCTCAGCTTCTAACCTGTTAACTAAGATTAAAAACAGTTGTTGAGTGAAGTCAGTGAGATGATGCCTGCAAGATTGCCTAGCACAGTGCCCAGGAAATTCTCCCTGACCTCAGCTTTGGTCATTGTCCATTACTCTAGTTGGTTCTTTCTACCTTGGGCCATAGCCAGAAAATTGATGTCAGCTCATGGGCTGCACTGTACCAGCTTCATTTCTCTTCTCTGTGGTTTTGCTTTTTCTCACTGCAGCAACAGACATCAGGTCTGTGTCAGTGGTGGGGAACCATGTATGCGGAACATCAGAACCTGGGTCACAGCCCAGTCACAGACAACCTGCATAGTGGTCAGCTGTCTCAGTTGTACAAAGCATGGTTTACATTGAGATATTCCACATCCTTTCACCTGAGCACTGTACACTACAGTGATATCCTTCAGTGGGAGCTATGGACGGAACTGCCATGAGCTGGTGCCCAGGGCTCCTAGGGAGGGGACTTTGCCCTCCAGGGGCTTCCTTGCTCAGGGCTCAATCTGTGCAGCCTCCCGAGATTCTAAGCCAGTGGTAGCAAACCTATGGTATGCATGTTATAGTGTTTTTCTTTTAAGACAAAAGATATTAGTATAGAATTGTTTTTTCTAAACTAAAACCTCAATGTTTCGGTTTAATTGCAGTGTTGGCACTTTGCAGTAAATAAGTAGGTTTTGGGTTGCATTTTGGCATTGAGTCCTTAATAGGTTCGCCGTCACTGCCCTATGCCCTGGGTCATATGTTTTTAATTTGAGGAACCTTGTGAATTGTTGCTCTTCTGCAAATATGCCACCACATTCTATGATTTTTCTTAAGACAGAACTGCTTTATTGAAAGATTGACATATCAAATTTTTTAAAAGTATTTCTTAACAAAAGCAGATTTTTTTGTTGTTTTCTTGAGAAAAAACAAACTGTCATGCTATAAATAATGTTCCAGGGCTTGGCCTGGTTGAAAGATTCCCTACTGTAATAATCTAAATTCAGCTGATACCTTTTGCAGCACTAAGATTTAGCATCATTAGTGATAAACTCTCTTTATCAGGATGTCTCACAGCTAGACTAAAAATCAGTCACAGTAACAGCAGCCCACAGTTCCTCATCTTATTCTAACTAAATTGTCCCTAACAGCTTAAAAATGAGCTGCAAGATTCTAAAGTGATTCACGCTCCCTTCTGCCCCTGTCATGGAGGGGGGGACTTTTTCAGTTCTACAATCCGGTTGCAACCCCACAGTGAACTCTTGATCCTTCACTGCAGAAATTTGTTAGCTCCAGCTAGATTAGATTTTTCACAGCTAATCTAACTGCTGTAGGGGTTTGCAGAGTGGGGACAGAGCTGTGCTATTGGATTTGTCCAATTCATTTGACTCCAGGACTATAATTGCACTTATGTCTTACAAGGCTTTTATAGCCTCAGGCTGGCCAGCCGAATAAAAAACAAATTGGCAGTGATACAGTACGAGTGAAAGGGGATGAAAGGCCCACATTATCAGTCTCCAGGCAGCGCTGTTCTGGCAGGAAGTTTCTTGGTTAATTTACAAATAAAACTTAGATTTTAGGATGGGCACACTGTCAGCTGAACAATGGGGATGTCAAGCCTGACTGTTACTTAGTAAAAGTAGCAGCCGGGCCCACTGAGGAGCAGGAATTCTTCAATCAAACAGACGACTCCTTCTGGAGCCAGCTGGCGATGTAATGCAATTAGTCGGGAAAGGAGGTCAGCCCATTAGGTATGGACCATGACAGTGTCACCAGTGGTGTACAGCCTGGCAGCAGCAGGCGGAGTGGCTCAGGCAGAGGGATTTAGAACTCTGTCAGGACAAGACATGATGGGGCCTGAGGCATTTGTCTGGAGCCTGATGAACATAGGGCCTCCCAGAACACATGTGGCAGAGTAGGGAGGAGCTGGCATGGCTCTGTTCCTCCCTGCTACCCACACACACACATCAGCCTGGCCTACAGTGGGTTTCTAATTCAAAAGTCCCAAAGCACAAAGTAATGCCTCTGTGTCAAAACCTTTAGCCTGAGTGCCACTCTGGGTGCCAGGGTATGCTGTGCTGTCCTTACAGATGCACAGCTTATCCTGGTCCATTGGATCTGTTTTACCTACTTGTGTTCTGGTCATAGGCAGGAGAAAGACTATTTTTGCGCTTGCTCCAGATTTATGAGCCAGTTGATCCCATGGCCTTTGCTCTTAGTTTTGTGATTTAGCTAATTAAATTGAACATGTCCAGAAAATCTGAAGCTCATTAAAAGCAGCTCTGAGATGATGAATATTGTGTTATTAACACACAAAAATAGGTCCTCCTTAATTACAGAACCACCTTGCTGGGAGGAAGGGCCTATCGGTATGATACTGCTCTCCCATGCTATAGTTCTGAGAACCCAGTTGCAAATAAAATTAGGAGAGGTTTACTTGGGTTGTATAATTGAGTAACCCAATTTAGAAAGGGGAGAGTGATTGAAATTTCAGCAATTACTGTTTCACATCAGAGTTCACACTTTGTACCATATAACTGTGGATCGAATGGAGTTATTGTACTCTTAGGTGCTGGCATCGAGTAGTGGCAATATATTTGAGAGGGGTTTGGTTAGGTGGGTTGATCCCCTTTGGACATCTGTTTCAGCACTATACCAGGCAGTGGAGAACTCCCTGAGGTAGGCTGTCTTTGTAGGATGAGGGCTATTAGTCCCGAGTGTTCATGTTACCTTCTGCTGGTCAAAATTCCTCCAAAGTTTCAGTTAGATGTCCCCATTGCCCTTGGAAACCTGTGTTGTTGGCAGTGCTATGTGTTTGCACTCTGAAAAACTGACTTGCAGGAATGTGCTGTAAAGTTTTTGCATTTTTATTAAAAAGGAGAAAGAATGAGAGAGGAAAGGAAAGGGTGAAGGAAGGAAGAGAAAGGAAGAGAGAAAGGGAAGATGGATGGGAAGAAATGCTGTAATATCTAAGATGGAAATAGGATTGGGATGTAGCTCAGAGGCAGAAGACTTGCCTAACATGCACAAGGCCCTGGGTTTCACCTCCAGTACTAGGGGAAGAAAATCTGTATTAAGGTGTTCGGCCTTACTTTGAGAGCCCAGGGTTGTATTTTTTAATTGTTTGTGGCTAGACTTTTTGCCTGCTACTCCCTTAGCCTTTATATTTTTGTAGGGCTGGTGAGGGAGAAGGAAAAAAAAAGATGTCCTGGGTAATTTTGCATTTGAAAGTGGTTGGCTCCATTAAATTGTTCTAAATCATTGTGACTTGTGCTCAGCCCCCATAGTTGCACTTGTCCCAGAGCCTGTGTTCACACACAATTGAACATGCACACTTCGTATAGGTACAAAGGTTCAGGTGCATGGCACTTTTGAAATAATTGACTCGGGCCATCATTTCCAGAAGTACGAGAGGGAAGAATACCCAGGCATTGCAGCAAACAGCTTCCTTTGTAACCTTATAAATGGAAAAGAGGCCGAATTGGGGTCATGTTGGATTTTTTTTTTGTGGTCAAGTAGTCTGTAAAGAAAATAATATGTATGTGAACGTGCTTTAGCTGCATAGTATTCCAGAGCATCCTTTTTATCTTTTAAGACAAAAATAAAACATTAGCTTTAGCACAGCATCTCCATTGTATGAAGGTGCTTGTAACTTGGTTGCTTCTAGTGTTCATCTGCTAGATAAGCAGTGAAGCAGGAAACATTTGTTTATGGTGATAAAAACTCCATTCTGCCCATTCCATGCAACAGGCAGAAGCCACAGTTCCCAGTAGGCATTGGTGGCCTTCACCAGTGGCCCGCACAGTACTGAGGCTTCAGTTTGGGCCAGGCTTTAAATCTTTAGCATCTAGTTTCTTCTAGTCATGTTTCAGGGCTCCTCCCATGCATGTGTGCTTTCTCCAGCTTGGGGGAGCTGTATCGAGGGCATCTTGCATCTGATGGAGCTGGCCCTGAAGAACTTGTAGAGCACCTTTCCCCAGAGGCCTTCTGCTCTGACCACTCAGAGAGTCCATGATTTGTTCTCAGACTTTGCAACCTGTTTGTATATAAAATGATAAAGCAGTCCTGCTAAACTGCTTGAGTTATGACAGTAGGTAGCTTTTAGTGCAATCTTAGCTAGCTGAGGGACAGCACAGGTGGCTCTGGCCGAGGTATGCAGGCCCATTCTGCATCCTGGGCAGGCAGAGCTTCCCTTCCTGAGTCCTACTTCCTCCTTGTGTGATAAGAAAATGATGATGCAGTGACATCATGGTTTATCATCATCATCATCAGAGTTAGTGGGTAGATTCAGCCAACAGTATGTATCGACACACTTGGCACACAGTGAAGCACTCTTTAAATACTCACTGCCATGCTTGCTTCGGCGTCACATATACTAAATACTCACTGCCACTGCTAGGGTCCCGTTGCATGTAAGTGATATCTGTTTATTTCCTAAACAAAGGTAGTTTATATATTCTTAAAGGTTTGGCATAATACTAGTTTCTTACATATTTGTTAACAGTTGTGTTATAATGGCTTATGTTCTTTTATATTTATATCTTTATTTTCTTAATAACCATTGACTTAGGTGCTTTAAAGTACTCATGTAATATGGAATAAACCATGTCATTAATTGTTTAGGAACCTGCTCAGCAATATAAAGCCTATGACTCTGATGCAGAAGTAAAACTCCATTAAAAATTTTTTGGTCTCCCCATCCAGCCATAATGTGCCCTTGGTACCAGACCAGTATGCCTGGTCTTAGTACCAAATGTGCTTCATAGAAGATGAGTTTTGTTTGTGTGGAATGGTACTTTTTAATGTCAGTAGAAGACATCAGTGATGCAACCTTTTGTTGGTAGAAGGGGTCTTCTGTTTTTGCTTGTTGGGTTTTTTTTCTCCTTAGCATTTTGTAGTTCCATTGGGAAGCTTCAACCCCTCATAAACTGCTGTTATCCCTTGATTAATAAAGTGCCAATTTGCTGTTGCAGCTCCGTCACTTGGGGAATGATGAGGTCCACATCGTCTGGTCTGAACACTCCAGGGACTACCGCAGGGGCATCATCCCGACGGCCTTTGGCGACGTGTCCATCATCATTTACCCAATGAAGAACCACATGTTCTTTATCACAATAACCAAGAAACCCGAGGTACATCTCTCCTGCCTCCTTGTCCTGACTCATAGCGTTTGCCATAGGAGTCACTGTCACTGAAAAGCAGTTACGTGATTTTGCTAAAGGGAACTCATCTCTAACTGGTGACTGTCTTACATATATCTGCATTATGTGTGCTATATAAAAATTCAGTAGCAACTGGACTCTTCAAAGAATCTTTGATCATGAGCTCAAACTTTCATATTTCATTGCTTGGCCTCTATGAAATTATTTCAAAGAAATTTATGTTTTTAAATATTTCAAGTTTTTTAAAAACTATTTTTAAAATATTCTAATATTAGATTTGGGGCACACTAGTTCATAATAAGATTGGAAAGAACCCCATTATCACACCTAGCATTTGGGGAAACACTGTGGGTGTAGAATGGAGCCTTGTGTGATGGATGGACATTGCTGCTGAGCCCAGTTGGTGCTAATGGGATCAGCAGTGAGGGACCACAGAAATGTCCTCAAAGGGGCTGGCTCTGGGCAGAGCCCCTGTGACAGGTGTAGCAGTCAACCACCTTACCCCAGAATCAGTGCAGTCTGTCAGTTGCTGTTGATCATGGGAGTGGATGGAACAATCTGTGGTCTCTGTCCCCTGTACTAAATTGGCTACAGTTTTGATTTCTGTCATGCCTTTAGTGGTATTTTAACAGTGCTTTCAGTGGTGACTTATTTTTGTGTGGGAATTTTTAGGAAGGATTTTTTAAGTTGTATCATTAAATATTTATCATTAAGCTACGTAAGCAAAAATGACTGTATTTTTGGCTTGATATTAAATATAGCCTTCATTTTCATTCCAACTTTTTCTCTTAAAGGAGCTGAAAATTACCATTGTGAAAGCTCTCCAAGTTTTAAAATAGTAGGTCACTCATTGAGATTTATTGGTTAAATTGGCATTGATAACCTAATCTAAAGTATTAAAGTTGTGAGGATTAAATAAACTAGTAAGTGAAAAGTGCTTCAAAGAGTGCCAGGTCCAGAGTGAAAGCTGCTTCAGTGTTAGATGTTATTTTTATTATTTTATCACCACCTTAGTCTTTTTGTTATAGTTACTAACACAGAAATAAAATGAATAATGAAGTCTATGTTTATCACATATAGTAATTCTCAAACTGGGGAGATGTAAGTTAACTCCTGAGTCCAGGAGCATCCTGCTCTGGCTGGTGCTCTTCTCAGTTCATAGAGGGATGAGGCCAAGATTCATAGTAAATGTTGGTATGGTCTCTGCTTTAGACCTCTGTGTGTGTGGAGTTTTCATTCTTGTACTATAGGAAGGTGTAGTACTCACATTCATATCTGTTCATGAGGGCCACTGCTTTTAAATTTAGAATTAAACTGAATACTATAATATTAGAGATCCAATAAATTTAGTATCTTATAGCTTTCAAAACTAGACATTTAGTGTGGGTCAACTGTCTCTATCAGTTCAGTTTGGGAACTGCCTTCTAAAATGTCTTTTAAAGTCCTAGTAATGGCACCTTTATTTTTGAAGTAAGTGAAGATCATGAAAGACGTTTCAATTTACTTTAAAGTGTCCAAGATGATTTTTTTAAGTAGTATAAGATGCATAAAAACAACTATTAATATACCTTTTAAATTTTATGACAAAATGTGTAAGTTTTCCAAATGTGGTCATAAATTCTGACAAGATGAATTGAGCAAATTGCTTTCTTAACATTTTAATTCAAAAAGCCTAAAGGGAAGAAGAAGAGAATAATGGGCACTGGAAATTTAGGGTTATCCCTACATTTAAAGCAGGGACCATTACAATGTAATAAAATTAATCCAGACATTTCCAGGGCAAGTGTGGCTGACCTTTTGTTCACCAACCACTGACCCCAGGGTGAATGCAGGAGGCTTTAGGAGGGAAAGTCTGTTTGTTTGGCTTCGGTCCCTGGTATTTAAATTGCATTCCCTAATCAAATGAAAAGGCTGTCCTCTCTATCAGGTTACAGAATCCATGGCAACATTTGGCCTTTTATATCCATAATGTTAGCCTTTTTGTTTGCGTCTAAGTAGAGACACCTGGAGCAATGTTAACATTAACCGATTTAGCATTAATAGCTTCATTATATAAGAATTTCTGATCAGATAGCTGTTACTTTTGTTATATTGCTTCAGCTTGTATTGTTGTCATTTTTTATCTCCCTGCTTGGCAACCAGGCAATGATTTGCAAATTTTTTTTGTCTTGATTAATTAAGCAATATAATTATCAGTAACCATGATGCAGTCTTTGCTCAACAAAGCTTCTGAGAGAAAACAATGGTAAGTCTGTTAGTATGAATGCATTCCACGCGTCCCAGATGCACGAGGATATTATGGACAATGAGGGGAAAGGCCGCCTGCTAGCGAGGACAAAGGGTGCCACGCAGACTCAACACACTGCACATACCGCCAGGGACATGCTGCGGGCTCCCTGGGACACAGACGCCTCGTTAGATTACAGCTAGTCAGCAGAGATTAATTCTTAGCCATTTGGTACAATAATTTACCCATTCCCCAGTCTTTTAACTAGAGTTCCTTGCTATGAAAGTGAAGGCTTTGTACTCAAAAGGTTGATTTAACCTTGCCTACTTTAGAGGTTGCCACCAAAATCATTATTTTTGCCTAGAGATTACAGTGATGCAGCTGCTTGAAGTTTAGGAATATTCCTTTTAGGAGGACAGGTTCTGCACAAGTTTCAGAAATTGTAGATGGAGTCAAAGACATTCTTTGAGCACCTGTATATTTCGTCTGAATATAGTATGATTCTGGTCTAAATCCATGTATTTTACTGATCTCTGGGCAGCCATACTTCTCTAAGAATAATTTTAATCCTTTTTTAGGAGGAAAAAGAAAACCTCATCAGTACACAAAAGTCCCGCTCATTGGATAGAGTCATGCATATTCAAATTGTACTTTCATTCACCCAGCCTCATTAATAGCGTATGTAATAATGTAGGGCTATTTGTAATACAAGCTCACAGGCAGCATTGCTTCCAAGTCCTTTGAAATTTAACATATTTTGCTTTTTCATTCCATACACCTCCCTTAAATATACAAATTATATGCCTGGCAGAATCTGCCTCCTCTTAATAACACACAGCATTTATGAGATGCTGTGTGCAAGTGTGCTGCACACAAAACCCTAATTCTGAGGGCCCTTCTCACTTCTTGAGTGTTGCACTGAACTTTTTTATTATTAAATTGAAAAAATGTAAGTGTACAGTCATTGTCACTTTATCATTTCATTGTTAAGTCCATCTCCATAAATAGCAACATTCTGGTCAGTCATAGAAAAGAAATGTATTATTGTCAGGCTTACTTTTTTTTTTGTACTTTTATCCCCAAGTCAGCCATCTAGGCAAGACTTGCACATAGGGCAGTATGTGAGTGACTCCTGGGGCTGGAGAGGACGCCCATGTTACTCAGGAGTGTAACTCACAGAATCTCCACAGAGACAGGCCATCATGTTGCTATCCTAGTCTTTCAACATCTGAAAAGTGACACTGCATTTTATGGCATTTGCCTTCATAAATCTGTGAAGGTTCGTTTCAAGTCTGGGACATACTTATCTTCAGGCACATTCATGACTGAGGAAGATGTTCTGAAGCAGCCTTGATGGGCAGCAATTGAGACGGGGATGTATTGGTGAAGGATCCCTTAGTCACTTTTATAGATGGAGATCATGTTAATGTTCTCCAAGCTCCACTTCCTCAGCCCTGTTTGATGTGAGTGTAGGAGAGAAATCAGTGAGCAGAGTCAAAAGGAGATGGTCATAGAATTGGAGAGGGGACCCAGCAGCCTAGTTCACAGTTGTGTGAACAAGGTGTCTCAGGAAGGGTTCTCCTTGTCCCTGACCTGGGGATCAAGGTCTCTCAGTACTTTTTCTGGGAATATAAGTGCCACACTTGGGCTCTCTTATACCAGATGCCCTGACTGTCACCAGGGTTCTGTCGAGGTAGTATCTGGGCCTCTGTAGCTCCAGCAACTCTGTGGCGGTGGCGGGGGAGGCACTTCCCTTTCAGGATGACATATAGCCCAGGATCTTTGTCTGGAACAGACCCCAAGGATTGCTGGAAGAAGCTGATGTTCCAGAAATCCCAGAGCATTGTCACCAAGGCCAGGAGGAGCCAGCATTGTGACTGGATGGAAAGGAGCTGTGTCTAGCTTACTAGAGTGGCCTTGTGTCAGAGGGAGTATGTTTGACTTTGTATTGTGGCTGTGTGAATTTCTTCCTTTGCAGTTTTCTTAAACATTTATGCCAGTCCCAACCAAATAACCTCTTTTGAGATTGAATCCTGTACTTTAAAATACTCAGGAAATGCTCAAGAAAGTGAATTAACTTTTGGATATACAAAGAATCATGTATTTTAAAAAGATTCCTGAAAATACAGAAAACCAGAATTTACTATGTTAAATGGGTTGCTGTGGTGTGGTCTGTTTGGTGACTTATTATATTAGCATTATTAGCATTATTTTTAGTCAAGGAATATGGCATTTGAAAACTACATGAAAAGGCATCTGTCATTTGCCAATGTGATACTAAAATCAAATTTCTTCTTTAATTAATTGACACTTCTAATTAGAGGGATTCCCTGGATACAAGGGATTTATATTACTCCTTTTGTCCAGTTTTTTGAAAGATTTGAGTCACTTACAAACAGTTACCAAAGAATAATAAAAAACATTTTTTATACAGTGAGCCTCCCTGCAAATGGAAGACAATCTATATAGCCTGTTAGCAGTAAACTCCTAGCTTCTGTTTTACCTTTCACAGTAGTTTGGCTTTTGAGAATTCTGCCTTAGTTGACTTTACTGAAAAGTTAAGATTATTTTCCTGTATCTTGATTGTTTTTTTTTTTTTTTT